GGGTAGGATGCAAAGAAAGACCGCATTCCGTCCCAATCCGCCGACCTGTAATGCCAAACACGGCGGCAACCTGCAGAACGCAACCGCGAAGGGAGCGTGAGTGGCACCACACTCCCGATCAGACAATGGTCCGAAGAGCCGAGAAACCAGATATCCGTCCGGATGAGAGGTCAGCAGAAGGTTCAACATGGAAGGTGTATGATCCTCCACATCTGGAATCCGCGTAGATGAAGTAACCAGTTGTGTCAGACCATATGCTAAGGCAAAGTCATAAACAGATCTCCCCGCATGATCGGTTAAACGTGAACCGAGCCATTCAGCAGGGTGGGCGTTAAAATCGCCAAGGATCACGATCTCTGCGGATGGGACCTGTTGTAGCAAGGAATCTGTAGCCATTTGGACGTGGTCGATGAGTCGGTCTGTTTCGGTATTACCGCTATGGGACCTATAGAGGCACCCGTAGACGCGCGGATGGTCGTCGCTGTCTACGCGTAGCCAAAGGATGGACAGGTCCGAACCTTCAAGACTGCCGAGGCGTCGAGAACAGATGTCCTCTCTGACATACACGCAAACTCCAGCCCGAGGCACAAAGGAGTGCTCCAATTTGTACCCCGGGTCGGAGAGATACGAAATATCAGCCGGAGAGGAAACCTGCGTCTCGGTCAGAAAGAGCAAGGCCGATTTCGCCGTCTCGAGATGGTAGTGGACGGCGTTTAGGTTAGAGTGAAGTCCCCTGATGTTGCAGAAATTCACGGATAGCGTGGCGGAGGTCGCCTTGGTATCGGCCACCTGCATTCACCAGACGAAACGCAGAAGCAGAGCCTCTACTTCACGCCGGTATTCTGTGAGGTCGTGGTACCAACCCGGCTCGAGCCGGCCCATACGTGCAACAGTAAAAACTGCTGCGTTGGTCTACCACCGTTAAACTTAACAATAACTATTTTGATGATATGGAAATTAAAATGAAATATAATGAACGAACCTAAAAATGTTTTTATATTTTTGAAGTGTATTCAATATAATGCAACTGCAATTTATAGATTACATGTCGTTAATTAATGTAACATGGTAACATAGTGTAACCTTGATAAAACAAACCTCAATATAACCAATTCCTCGGTTTAACGAATTTTTCGAAATCCCCCAGAACTGCCTGTAAGAGCTAATGTAAAATATAATTCTACATTACGAATAGATTGTATCAAAAACATGTTTATAACGAATTTTTAATCATTGCAGAATATATATAGAAGGTATTATTTACCTCTGTTTAACCAATTTTTTCAACTTGAAATCTTAACATAACATATCCTATTAATTATTCCCAATTAATTCCACAATAAATCATGTCTTGACAGGTTAAGACACGTACGCGACAGGCAGATGACTATTTACGTAATGTTGAGATTAATAAACAAGTTTTCTTAGTTTTCTTTCTACCTTGTTAAAACGAATGGTAGTTCCACCTAATATCTATATAACAAATCTCATTATAACGAATTACTTGGTATAATAAACGAATACTTTCTAATTCTAATATTTGTTATTTGCTGTGAATTGTGCACTAATAAAACTTTAACTGAAGTCTATAAATTATATACTTTAATAAGAAACTCTGGTAAGAACGGTAAGAGTAAAAATAATCAGTCGCACAGAACACAATTACTCTCTAATCAGTCGGTTAGCCATGCAGCGCCACTGCATTATGGAGTGGATAAAAAAATTCTGGCGTCCGCTCTATTATGGAGTCTCCATAAAATGAAATTTTGAAATCCGCGATACTGGCTTCTATAATATTGAAATGTAAGCGCTTTGCGATATTTTTTTGTCAGTATTCACCCGTAGTCCTGGCGGAACGATGTCCGAGTAGTGACGATGACAAAGTACTCTCTGTTGTTGATAGTAATGAGCAAAAAACTTACTTAAAAGAGTTTATTCTTTTACTTGAAACGTGTCCACCTTTGTGGAATCCGAAAGATAAACATTATTTAAATACTGTTAAAAATGAAGTTAGTGCAAGTTTATAAAAATATAAAGAGAAAAGAAAAGGTTTTTAAGCACTTGAAGCTTCTGCCATTTGCTAAGTACCGCAATGTTACGGCAAGCTTTTCTCTCGACGATATAGCTCGTCTCATCTGTGTGTCTAGTTTAGTAATATAGAGGAAACGATGGCTTAAAGCTTCTCAAAGAAATCTTCACTCATTCTAAAATAATTGGAGTAATCGTCCAAATCGTCGCCCATGAGCATTTCTTGCGGAATGTTCAAATGAGTATATTGATTTCGTTTTAAAATCGAGTTTTTCACCCAATGCGTTTTTTACGTTTATTTTACAACTCGTATTCGAGTACTATAGCTTTTTTTATAGGATAGGGTGACAAACAACCACACAGTCCCCTGATGATAAGTGGTTGCTGTGAGCCATAAACATCTACATTTATCCTCAATAAAGAATCAAAATGCAAACCGGGGTCTCCGGTTCTCTACAGTTACCATACGAAACACAGCAGTGTCAAGCTGCCATTTTACGCTGGTATTCTGTGAGAGCGTGGTCCTTCCCCGATCGAGCCGACCCGTTCGTGCTACAACTACATATACCTATATAACTGCAGCACGGCTCTACCACGTATAAATAAAATACGTATAAGTAAATGCTGTTGCTGCCTTTCTATTATTATCTATCATTTATTTCTAAAGTTATTCAATTTTCTTATACGAAACACCACTTCACTCTAGTAAATTCAACGGCATACTGATGATGATATTATTGACAACGTAATAGCCCAATTTCAATACTTGCGATATTGCGATACTAGGTTCATGATAATATTGACAATGTAACATGCCCCAATAGAGCGGACGCCAGATTTTTTTTTATTAAAGAACTAAGAGCGAGATTATCGACGAACTAGTTCACTTAGAACTAGCTTGCTACATATATATTTATCTATGCTTAGAACTACCCAAGACTAATCATCGATCGTAGTGTTTCTATATACTATATATATATATATATATATATATATATATAGTCATTGGGAGCGCTCAATTTAGTTCGTAGTCCTATAGCGAACTAGTTCGCTCATTTAGTTCGTTAATTCCTTTTATAATTTTTTATTGGATCTAATTAAAAAAGATGAGTTAATTGAATGTCAGTAAATAAAAATTAATTGATTTTACTTTAAAAAACTAATAATGATTTAATTCTTATAAATTACTACATAAAATATAATATATGAAAGATACTTATATTATATTTTATGTAGTAATTTATCAAGAACTATTTGATGATACGGAAATTAAAATAAAATATAATAAACGGAAGTAAACATGTTTAAGTATTTTTGAAATGTATTGAATTAATGAAAATAACACAACTGCAATTTAAAGATTGTATGTTGATAATTAATGTAAAATAGTAATACAGTGTAACCTTGACATAACAATCATCCATATAACGAATTCCTCTATTTTACGAATTTTCCAAAATCCTCTAGAATTGCCTGTAAGAGCTATAATGCAAAATATAATTCTACGTTACAAATACATTTATTAAAAACCAGTTTATTACGAATTTTAAATAATTGCAGAATATATTATGTACCTCTATTGAACCAATTTTTTCAACTTAAAACCTTGACATAACTTATCCTATTCATTATTCCCACTTATTTCCACAATAAATCATGCCTTGACATGTTCAAACACGTACACGACAGGCAGATCACTAGTTACATAATGCTGATGTTAATAAACAAGTTTTTTTACCTTGTTAAAATGAATCGAATTACTTGGTATAACGAATACTTTCTAATTCCCTTCAGTATCGTTATATCGAAGTTGCACTGTATTGGAGTATTTATTACAATTAGTGGAAATAGAAAAGTAAAATTTTATTTTGAATAAACCGTAAAATCGAATTGAGAACTATACGGTATTTATGTACTGTTTACTATCATCATCATCATGATCATTACAGCCCTTTATAAGTCCACTGCTGAACATAGGCCTCCCCCAAGGAATGCCACAAAGTAGGTCCTGAGCCACCTGTATCCATCGACTTCCTGCATGTCTTACCAGGTCGTCACTCCATCTAGTGGGGTGGGGGTCTCCCTATACTTCGCCTACCGGTACGAGGCTGCCACTCGAGAATCTTTCTTCCCCATCGGTTGCCGGTTCTTTGACCTATATGGCCGGCCCATTGCCACTTCATCTTACTAATCCGTTGGGCTATGTCGGTTACTCTGGTTCTACTACGAAAATCCTCATTTCTAAGTTTATCACGCAGAGAAACCCCGAGAATAGCCCTTTCTATAGCTCGCTGAGCGACCTTGAGCTTCCTCATATGGCCAGCAGTGAAGAACCACGTCTCAGATCCGTAAGTCATCACTGGCAACACGCACTGGTTGTACAATTTCGTTTTCAGGTTTTGAGGTATGTCCAATGAGAAGATGTGTCGTAGTTTCCCGAACGCTGTTTACTATCACTTTCATATTAAAATTGTGAGCCGGCAATATTTGTTAATTGTTGTAAATTATGTACTTATAAAACTTTAACCATAGACTATAAATGATATAGGTACCTTAATAATAAATTCTGGTAAGAGCGGTAAGAGTAAAAATAAATCAGTCGGTTAGCCATGCAGTGCTACTCCATTATAAAGCGGACGCCAGAAAAATAAATATATTATAAAGAACTAAGAGCGAGATTGTCGACGAACTAGTTCGCATAGTTCACCTAAAGGAGCGCTCTTCCCACCTAGGTCGTTCGCGAAGTACCCAAGCCCAAGACTATACTCTTTGACTACTATATAGTTTGTTAGTTTCTTCCTTATATATTACTATACTCTTTGGTTAGTTTGTGATCATCGATCAATAAAAGAATGTGTTGGTAAATTAGATTTAGTAAATATACCTAATCGAATCAAACATTACGGAATCGAAATCCCATCACCTAGTAGTAGTGGATAATCACTAAATTTTACACTTAAGCTTTAGAAACAATGACAGATGTTTTAAAAGCACTTATAATAGCGTCTGAAAAAGCTGCCGGTATCGCTCGTTCTTGTACCGAAGCTAACGAGGCCTTACTCGTGACTGAAAAGAGTGAAATCGAAGCTAATGCGCGTTTTGCGAGAGATTTTAAAACTATAGCAGATGTTTTGGCACAAGAATGTGCCAAGGCTGAAGTAGCCAAATGCCTTCCAGCTATTTCCAAACATCTTAGAGGTGAAGAACATAACGAAATTGGTGGAGTGACTATTACTTTGCAGGAGACTGAAGAGAAAACGACAGAATTACTTGGTTCTTTAATTCCACTATCAACTGCAACACAAATGGCTAAAGCAGCTCATGCCCAAGTAAATCACACGTTTACAGAAGCACTTCCCAATATTCCTATGCTCGATTATGAAGATCTTGGTGTATGGATTGATCCTATAGGTACCCTTGAACTTAATTTATACTTTTAGGTTCTTAAGTAGGAGATACTTTGTAATAAATGTATATTTATCTGGTTTTTCAGATGGCACAGCAGAGTTTATAGCTGGAGTACGAGGAGAAGCTGATGCTAACCATGGTCTATCATGTGTAACTGTTTTAATTGGAGCATATTTGAGATCATCTGGGGAACCAATCATTGGTGTCATCAATCAGCCATTTTATGATGGGTACGCATATTTTGTGTTATTCATATAATTTCTTCACCAAATGCCTAAATGAGATATTAATGAATAATTATAATAGCAATTATATAAATGAATTAGAAAATATATTGTATAAAAAATCTATTATGCTTTTCTAAATTGAGGCATTCAAATCTTCAATTTGATTTCCTTTAAAAATTCACTAATGCTGAATATTTTTTTTATAGGATAAGGGTGACGAACGAGCACTCAGTCCACCTGATGGTAAATGGTTGCTGAGGCCCATAGACATCTACATAAAACAAAATGCAGATACATTGTCACCCGTGAGGACTAAAATGGAATGCCTCATTTCCAGTAAAAAGGGTCTCCAGTTCTGTACACTCACCATACGAAACTGCAGCATTAAGCTGCTATTTTACACTGGTAGTCTGTGAGAGTGGTCCTTCCCCAGTTGAGCTGACCCATTCATGCTACAACTATACTACTAATATAGCTGCAGCATGGCTCTACCACATTGAAAAAAATTATCATAGTGTAGGTGCAACTGTGAACCAGTAATGCCTAAAACTGACTTACCTTGGTGTAAATAAAAAAATTCTAGTGGTTTAATGCTCATTCTTATTGTGTGTGAAAGCTCAATTACATGAAATAAATGTGTGAATTTGTGTGGATGTAATATTATGTCAGGTATACTTTGCCAATCTAAAATTCCTCATAAGCCTGTGTTGCTCTAGACTTTAAAAGCTGTTATAAATTAGCAAATGAAATCTGTAATACAGTATTGAATTTGTGTGTGGGGTTATGGCAGGAAGACTGTAATTTTGATACTGGAACAAGCTCAACATGCATTAATTACAGTAACCCTAAATAACAGTAGGATAGCCCAATAGAGGATTTTAGGATTTACTGAATCCTGACAGACTAATATAAGGGGGATAACTTGCACCCTGTTGAGTAACTTCTTCATATATAAGTTCTTTAGGTTGTGCATTTAAGGCAGCAGATCAGATTTTTTTACATATAGGAGGGGGCATGTGGCTCACCTGATGGTAAGTGACATCGCCCATGAACAACTGCGAAAGCAGGGGAATTGCAGATGCGTTTTAAAAAGGAGTAGCATCTTTTCTTGAATGTTCCTATGTCATATCGGTCCAGAAAAATCGCTGGTGGTAGTTAATTCCACAAGGAAGTTGTGGGAGGAGGAAAACCTCTTGTAAATTGCACATTGGTGGATAGCCAATCTTCCACATGGTATGGATGGTATCACGAGTTTTGTCACGATGTGCGATGGTGAAATTAATCCAAACAATTCCTCAGAGCACTCTCCATGGTAGATGTGATAAAAAACGCAAAGGGATGCAACATCTCTTCACAGTGCCAGTGAATCAAGCCAATCAGAAAGAACTCGGTTACCGACTATTCTAACTGCTCTGCCCTGGATGCAAATGGAAGGAGCTGGTACTGGGGAGCCCCAATCCAGAGACTGGAACAGTATTGCATGTGAAGCCGTACCTGCGCTTTGTAAAGTTGCAGGCGGTTTGCCCTTTGTCTTCAGATGCATACAAATTATTTAGTAAAACTGCTTGCAGGGACCCTGGTATACACACTGAGCTTAGATTAAAACTCAGATTTACTAAAGATAATATTAAATATATATAATAAACTCAAAAAGATAATATTTTATATACACACATATAAAATATTATCTTTTTGTAATTTTAAATAATTAAATAAATAATAAAGGCAATCATAAGCTTTCGTTCCCGCTTGTCGAGTGTTGGGCCCGACAGATAATTGACTGCTCTAGTGGCAGAACATGTTATATGAAACTGTTCACGTTTATCTAACACTATTTTTGTCAGCGGCCACAAGAAATGTTGCGTGTTTTGCCAGCCCTCTACTCAGAATCTCGTTCGCCTATAAGTATGGCGCTGTTCACATTGTTTGATGTCGGATCGGGCCAGGCAACCTATTATATCGCGCCGCGCATGCAGGATTGTTGCGTTTTTATTGTACCCAACATATTGTACGCACGTTTGGTGTTTCGTAATAACGGAAAAAAATAATAATATAAATCTTGAAGATTTGATCATACTGGTTCATACTTTTAAAATAATACATCACAACAAAAGCTTCGTCTACGTCCATCGTGTAGCCTCGCAACTGCCAATAACTGGCTCCAGCTTCAATGGGGTCCAACAACCGACTAGTGTGAACAGCGGCGCCCGACAAGTGGGAACTAGCTGTGCGCTGTTTATGACCTGACCAAATGATAAAAACAACTATTGTTTCTATAATGTTTGAAACATAATAACATATAAACTTAGGTTCATTAAAATTTGAAACTAATTCATCTTCGTCATTTATTAACAGCGGGAATGGTCGTATGATATGGGGTGTTAATTATAAGGGCACCCATAATTGGAATGGAGGTGGCTATAAAACTAAACCTGATAACAAAACTGTACTCGTAAGTGGTGCTGAAAAATCAGACATCATACAAAAATTGAAAAGCTCAGGATGGGAAGTAAAGAGTGTACCAGGTGCTGGAAACAAACTGCTCAAAGTAGCATTAGGTAAACCCAATACATTTACATTTATAATTACATTTTCAAACTTGTTTTTTTTTTCTTTGTAAAATAATAAAATATAATTAAGTAGGTTTTGTAAATAGAGTCCTACTAAAACTCGGCATGCTTAGCCAAAAACGAAAATTCAGTTCCTCTACTTGTTTTGGCCGGAACCGAAACTTAAGTAGTTAAGTTAAAATTTTCACTATACTCTAAAATTTAGTGTTTGCCTAATTTTTAACTTTACTTACTCTAGAGACTTACCTGTTTTTACTGTTTCACTACAATCAAAACATTATTATTCTAATAATATCTCAAATACATTTACAGGTGAGGCAGCAGCATATGTTGTCTCGCAGGGTACTACTTTTCGCTGGGATACCTGTGCACCACATGCAGTTTTAAATGCAAGAGGTGGAGGACTTGTGAGTTTCACAACACACTGCGCCATTACTTATAATGATGCTGTAGATCTTGATACAAAAGAATATTGCAATTCTGAAGGTATCATAGCTTGTGGCGATCAATCAACATTTTCAAAAATTCTTAATGATTTAAATTAATGCAAATTTATTCAAAGTCCTAATGTATTCTACTACGTTATATATATATATATATATATATATATATATATATATATATATATATATATATACGTGATAAATAAACTTTAAACTTTCGCACTCTTACCCTCTTTTTATATGTTAAAGCTGGTAAGTATCCTTTATATTGTATTTGAGTGGCACCAGGTTACCTGCCTGAGCATTTCAGGATACCTTTAGGGTGCTTTTCCACCAGATATGTATATGCAGCTATGCTGTGAGGATGTGAAAGCTAAGCTATAAAACCATGTGACCGTTTCCACTGATGCTAAGCTATGTAGCAGGGTGAGTAAGATGTGCTATGAAGATATATCGCCGCGACGTAGCTGTGCGAAGAAGATGCGCAGCTCGAAATATGCGATGTCTCGACAGTAAGAAAAGCACACAAGACAGTAGGGGGTGCTCTGCTCTGCACATAGCTACACCACTCGTGGCCATCCAAAGCAAAAATCCATTCATATAAAAACATAGCTTAGTTGAACCTGTTTCCACTAGTGCTAAGCCATATGGACCAATGAATATGATTGGTGGATATAAAACGCATCCCTAGCAACGTAGCATAGCACATCTATAGTGGAAAAGCACCCTTATGATTTGGTATGTAATTAATATCTATGACTTCTGTTAACTTTGAAAAATACGCAAGTACCCATCAAGTATAAAGCACCTTGTTGCAGCATTCAATTTGTATTGATAAGTAAATACAAAAAAATAATATTGTTATGTAAATAGAAAGTAATTTTAAGTACCTCCTTAGACAATACCATTTTGTCTACATTATTATATTAACATGTAAAAACGATATTATTTATATAGAAAATTTGCTTGTTGAAATACAACTTATTCTGAGTATTTTGTGATATCCGTACCTGATGTTATAATCTCACATATTATTTATGATAATTATAATTATACTAAAAAATTGTTTTAATTGTTAAATGCTATGAATATAGTCTATTCCACATTAATTACGCTTTTATTTCGCCTCCTAATATTTTCTTCTTTATCATTAGCTGCTACTGTCTACTGATGGTCATTGGCCTTGCCTGTTTTAAAAAAGAATGATGCGTACCTTTGAAGCTGCTCACCTTCATCAGTTTAAATATTTACAACCAATATAAACAGGATTTTCACCGCCCATTTGTTGGAAGCTATGCTAAGCTAAATCTTTCTAGCATTACGGTTGATTTGTTTGTAATAAATTATCTTATCTTACCACCACAGGACAATTAAGGGTGTTTAATTAGGTAAATAAATGGTGAATAAAATATTTAAAAAAATCTTATGCTTTTAGATATTTTTTTTTTATTGAACGTATCCTGCAGTGCACACTGCCAGGTAAGCAACAATTTACATTATAAAAAAGTACGTGTCCTGAAAGATACAGTGCCAGGTTTACATTGTAACAAGAAATAAATTCTAATTATTGTAATTAATCAACAATTGTTTATCATTTTTATTATCAAATTAACAGTCGTATAATTATAAGATCACGTTATATAATCAAACAATACAAATTATTTGCTTTAGAATACTATTTGGTGTGATATGCATGAAAACAGTTGCGCTCTTCTACCAAACAAAGTCTTATTTTACATTTTTGACAATGAATTCGGGTTTGGCCTTTTGTGCAATTTTTGCAGCTGCCTTTAGTTTCAAATACTGGCATATGACCAACTTGGTCATATTGTATAGCGTCAATGGGTCTCTCTGCAGCTGGTTTTTTTTATTAGGGGTACATTATTGTTGAGTTTATTGGCAGAAACCCCTCTTGAATAAAACTACTTTTACGAATTTTATCGCGTTTAATACATAATACATAATTGAGAGTGTTTAGATTATTGTATCTTTATTATATATTTGCATACTATAAATGTATATTTCTAGCATGGCTCCAGGTCTTTTGTATCATAGTGACATTCTCAGAAGAGCTAGAACCCAGAGCCGTAAAGCCAGTAAAAAAAAATAGTGACATTTTATTTTAGCTAGTGTTGGCATAACATTAAATGGAATTGTTACATCTTATTCTCAGTCTCAGCCATATCACTTTTATTTTTATTACTACTGATAGTACAGTTGTTACTAATAATAACTTAATATAAAAATATTTTGTGTTGTGTTGGTAGTCTTACAAAGTGTATACGAAAATAGTATAAATATACTAAATGGCAACATTTGAATAGAGTAAAATGATTTAAGTCATTTGATATTCCCAAAAATGTTTGTTTTTTTCTGTGGCTTTAATTAAAATATATTTCTATTTGAAAAATGATAGAAAAATAATAAAACTCATTTTATATATAACTTATTTCTAGACGCTATAATTTTTGTAACTATTTTTCTGCCATTGCTCTTTTGGTATCAAGAAACTATATCCAGGGATAATTTAACATTACTGCATTTACTTTCACTTCAAATAATAATCAAAAACGCATTAAAAAGTAGCAAAATACATATACTTACCGGCTTGTGCGTAGACGCCTGCTTACGGTCCGCCATCTTGCGGGCTACTAACAGTTCAGTGTTACCAGCAATAAAACTATAAATCCTACTAAATATCATAGTTCATAGACTAACTTATTACAAGAAAATCTATGTCAAAATTTGTTTAGTTTTCCTACAATATTTTTGAGCAGTGTATCCACTGATTCACTCTGCTAAGTTAAGGGTTAAACGGCAATAAAACAAAATCTATCAAATTTACTACGCCGAATGTTAAAAATCTGAATACCAATGTGTTATTGAATGGGGAAGAACTTAACCCTGTTGAATCCACTGTTTTTCTTGGTATCACTCGACGCAAAGCTTCAGTGGGGCCCCCATATATCTAAACTAGCAAGCAATCTAAGCTCAGGAGCTTATGCAGTAGTAGCTTAGCATAATGTCTCATGGGATTTTGCGGAGGGGAAATACAGCTGATTTAGAAACAATTTTTGTTTTGCAGAAAAGATCCATTAAAGCTATATACAACGTAAGACCGAGAACTTGTTAGAGAAAAACTTATAGAAATAAATACCTTAACATTGGCCTCTCAGCTTCTCTCATTTTCTGGTTCTTCCCAGGACAGAGGTATTTCTGAACCAGAATATTATGTGAGCGGAAACTAAAATTCGACCAGTGTGGTAGTGAAATATCGATTGTAACCATGTAGCTTAACTTTCGCGGTCAAGAACAAATCATTGGCTTCGAGCCTGGAGTGCATTGACTCTATCGGAATTTATTCGGGTTGATTTAATTTTAACATCTGACGCAGATTGTACTATGGATTTCGGAGAATCGTGAAAAATGAAAATAGTGAGTGGTAAAGTAATTGATTTGCATGCAAAGCAATAAAAAAAAATTGGATTATTAATGTATCTTTTTTCATTACAATTATTATTGACTTAAATCTTTTCAATCACTAGAACTACTATCACTTTCAGTCTTTTTACTTTTCTTCTTTTTCTTCTTTTTGCTCTTCTTCTCTTTATTTTTCCTCTTATTTTCTTTATGCTCTTTCTCCTGAAAAAATAATTAACTTTAATGGTGCAATCAATTTATTTTTACATGTTTAACATAAGAGAACTTCTTAAACTGTCATTGATTGAACTTTCATACTATTATTAGCTAAAGAATCATTAATTACATCAACTTTTTGCTAGGGGAAAACAATAGCTTCAACTAGATCCATTCACCACACTTTAAGTCTTATTTCACTTCTAGTCTTTGCCCATGAGCACAATTTTTTACACAGACCAAACTATCAAAATTATAATTGTAACTCACTAGAATTATTTAGTTAAGATACATATTAAATACTTTGTATCTAACTGGTTCTTTGAATGAAATTTTCTACTTTAAAAGTATTTCTTTAGGTAATCCCTGAAAAAGTTATATTTTTTTAACGCCGAGCTAATCTCTGGCGTCGAGGTACTTTTGACAAAATCACAATTGCTATTACGACTACTATTGTATCAAAATACATCCCAGATAAATATTGTTTACATGTCAAAACTAGTTACTTCAGAAAATGTATTTATTCCTTATGGCATTCCCATATTACAAAAGAATAATACAAAGGGCTGATATAATGCCAATCAACAATTGGATTGGTGAGAGTTTGATGTAATGTAGAGTAAAAATAAAATAAAATTGACAATTAAAAACAATTATACAAAATTATATATTGATTTTGAAATACATAAATACATTTTACAAATAAATAAGCTACCGTAAAATGGGGTGAATAGAAATCGCGGGGTGAATAGACACAAATCTGATTATTTGATAAAGTTGTCTCTAGGTTTGTGTACAGCTCGGGAACGTCTGTTTATTATTTGCCAACATTTTCCCTTTATTTTGGTAACCTTTAAATTAGTGTCAATTTTGATGACAGTAAAGAAAAGTGTGGTTATTATAAACGTGTGAATACGGTTGCGTGTGGGTACGGGTTTTATGCTGTGTAAAACTTTTAGTTAAACATCAAGTTCTTCATTGTTTACTTGTTGCAATTTTTTTTGTAGGGAGTTGAGTGTCTCATCTATTATTAATACAAATATGTACTTTGATATTGAACAATTTTATTCTTTTAAATAGTAAAATCAGGATATAAATCGCGGCACGTAAGTTGAACTATGACCTTGTATGCGCTGTAACACATTTTCGGGTCTCAATCGAAGTGCGGTATGAGGTGCGCCGCGAGGGGCCGCGCGTAACCATAGCAACGTGGCGGCGCTAGACCCCACTCAATCGCACTCTGTTCCTCGCAACCCGCGCACTCACAGCGCGGCCCTGGAGTACAATCGCGTACGAAGTTTTCAACTCTTTGACATTTATAATTTTGTCAATTACGTGATCATTTAATTTAATTTCAAAAAAATGACTCGACCACAACCAACTTTAAGGAGACAGGGGAGAAGAATGATATTTGATATTTATAATTATTACTTACTATACTCCAATGGAGTTAGAGGCAAATAATTCTTTAGCTTTCCTAGATGTGTTAGTCATTCGAAATCCTAATAACACCGTAGGTCACACTGTGTATAGAAAAAAGACCCATACAAACCGATACTTAAACGGTGAATCCCACCATCACCCTTCACAGTTCCGCGCCTACGTCACAGTGACCGAGTGAAGCCGGCCACAGTCGAGCGTGTGCCTGCTGTACTACCATATGTCAGAGGTATCACAGACAAGATTGGCTACATCTTGAAGCGAGCATTCTATTAGAACATTCTTCAAGCCGCCGAAGAAGATTAGTCAGTTCTTACCATCCGTCAAGTGCAATATTCCTCTACAAGATGCAGGAGTATACAAGCTTGATTGTGAGTGTGGTCTCTCATATATAGGGCAAACAAAACGATCAATAAAAACCCGCGTAAAAGAACACATAGCCGACGTGAAGCACCAACGTTCCGGGAAGTCTGCAGTTTGTGATCATATCCTAGACGGCCCCCGCCATTACATTAGATTTGATAAATCACAAGTTCTCGCGAAAGAACATCGATTCCTGCCAAGGATTATACGTGAGGCTATTGAAATTAAAAAAACATCCTAATTTCAATAGAGAGAGAGGCTGGGTACTACCACCTGCTTGGGATCCTGTAATTCATAAAATTAAAACTAAACCCAAGCATACCACTGCAAGACTTCAAGACACAGTTAGTTCATTCTGCGTAGATCGGACCAAAATTAATAATTAAAAAGCTGAAGGTACTCCGGGTTAACTTTGACATCGGGACGTCAATCCCCCGTGACCACGGTTGCTGGAAAGCAACCGAAACGTCGGGAATATAAAATAACTTAATTAAACGCGATAAAATCCGTAAAAGTAGTTTTATTCAATGTGTAGTGTTCGCGTAAATATAAGAAATCATTATGTAGACAAACAGATTAACTTTTTGATGTATTAAATTTTTATTAGTATTCCTTTAACTGTTCTATTTAATAATACCTAACAATCACAAATAAATTATGTAATAAGAAATACAATTATTTGAAAGAAAATCGAAATTATTTTTATGAAACTTAATTTTTTGTTTAATTAAATTACTTCACTTCATTTTCACACTTATTAAAAAATATATTTAAATACGACGAATTCACGGTTTTTTCTTTAAGATTTTTGAATTTTTCAGGCAACCGTGGAGCATGTGTCTAACATTTTTGTCCATAATTGTACCTGCGCAAACGACCGCCATTTTAGTTCAACTTACGTGCCGCGATCTATACTGGTATTTTTTCTCGAATTCGAGGTGAATAGAAACGAAGAAAGGGGTGAATATATACGAATGAGGGGTTATTAGAAACGTAAAAGAGGTTAATAGAAACATGATTTTTAGGGTTGTCAAAAACTATTTGTACCATTTACTGACTACATAAATAATTTAAGTTGCTAATTGAAACTAAAATTAAAAAAAAAGCGTTTATACCATATTAAAGGTATTTAAAAGTCTTCTATTATAAATGTAAAATTTTGTTATTTGTTATACATTCAAATTCCAAATACTTGAGGTTTTAACATTACACCAGATAGAAGTTGCTGCAGTAAATATACTTAGTTGCTCATATGATTTAGTTCTATCTAGTAGGTAAATATATATCATTCATTTGTATTTTATTGTTTAACAGAGACGCTCGGTATAAGAGTTAAAAAAGTATCTAAGCGGTGCGGAATAGGTGTGACGCGAGTTATCAGCTTAAGTCCCGATATTATGTCAATATATGCTTACATAATTTTATAAATAAGTAATAGTGATTTTTAGTCTCGTCTTGTTACCTACAACTTAAAATAACCAAAGGTTATTAATCAAAACACGTAGTATTATAATTAGTGTTATATAGTTTAGCAAACTTTGAAACCTATTTTTATTTTTATTTTCATTACTTTAAAAAATATGTTCAAAACTTTGCAAGCAGTGGCTTATTTATCTAATGGCTTTATGTCGGAAATGCTTACGCTGCAAAGCAGTTAAATTACATTACTCTGATATTTTTAATTTATATAATATGGAATTGTATAAATATCAGATTTATTAACTAATTATTTTTTATAACGACAATTTTGATGTAGTTATGTTTTCTTTCATTTGATTCACAACTCCAGTACCTAAATACTACAACAAAAGTATATTTGACAACCCTAGCATTTTTTCTCTATTCACGCCTATGTCGTTTCTTTTCACCCCGGATTCCCGGAATATAGAAACAGACTACTTTTTTCTAAAATACAACTAATTTGCATGTTTTTACTCGTTTGAAGCATTAGTATTCGATAAACTACAACAAGACTCACAACCTTAAAGTGTTTTATTATCAGATTATATACAATATATGTAAGAAAAACAGTGCAGAAGCTGAAAGTTGTGTCTATTCACCCCATTTTACGGTATATGAATATAACATATACATAATATATATAATTATTACACACAAATAAGTATGAATATATATATTTATCAATACATAATATGATATACTTGGATGATATCATGTAACAAGCATTGTCTTTAATAGATAATCACAAACCATCTTTTTAATAGCATACTTACTAGGTGCCATTGGTCAAGGAGTACCAAAGACGTGTAGACTGAACTATGAAGGAGTTACCATATCAACTCAGTGAAGTGAGCAGGAATACAGATTTTGTTGTTAAAAGAAGGACGTAGAACCCTATCATGAGATGAATTATGTTACCGTTGTACTATCTGCCAAAGGGTAACCTTGTATATTATATGAGGTATAGAACACTCTGACTAACATTCTAAATAATATCCCCTAGATCTTATCGATAGATTCAAAAGAAAAAACTTAAACAAGATCAAATAACACTTAAAAATTACTTAGTAAAGCATGTGTGTGTGGCCCCACACTCAAAATGATAGTACCCAATAAATGTGATGTACCTCTACCTCTGTCTTAAGCATGTATGAGTAACAAGCTCAGTATTGCAAACAAAACAGTAGACAAGCTACTAGTTACCTGTTTCACTTTTAAGACCTCCACCTTAGGTGCAACCGGTGCACAACCTTCAGTACGCACTGCTGCTGTTAATTCATCAATCTTTGACATATCTGCATTTGGTGCTCGATACTGCTCGCAGTGATCAACACGAATTGTCCTGCCTAGTATCTGTAAAAAATAATATACCTACATTAACAATTAATTCTAGTTTCTGTTTAAAGCATAATTTGTAATTAATAACCTTAATTCCATTTAAGTTATCCACAGCTAAAATAGTTGAGCGTTGATCTTCATAACAAATAAAAGCAAATCCCCTAGATTTGCCAGTAGCTTTATCTCTTACTAAATTAATGTTAACTATTTCACCATACCTGCAAAAAACAGCTAACCTGATTATTAACATAAAATTTAAGTGATATTCGCTTTGGAGTAAAGGCCATAGCTGAATAAGGGACCAACCTGTGCCTTTCGTGATTTAAACTTAATTTTTTTCCATAACTTAAAACTAGAAAGTACATAAAGTGCAACAAATATTTTCAGAAAAATCCGTGGTTAGGAAGTAAAAAAGAAGGTTAAAGACCGACCGAAGATTCGGTTTCGGCAAATTTCGGCAAAAAAATCTAGTATCGGTAATAGTTTCGGTTTCGGCCAAAAATCTGTCGAACATTCCGCGCGCGGCGTCGAAACTCGGTGTTCGTCTATTAACATGTGTCGTTCGGATGAGTTCGTAACTCGTGTATTGCTCGTAAAAAGTATTGTAATCTTTGTTGAGACTGATAATAATTATATTAGGTAACGCTTAACGGAAGATCTCATTAAATAACGTATTTGTTTTAACAATATTGTAAACACAATAAAATATGTTTTCAATTAGCGTGTAACTTTTTATGTGTAAGTGTTGATTTCTGACAAAACATACTTGAAAGTATTTTTTAAGGCTGGGAGTTACTGTTTTTGTCCGTTTTAAAATTGGTTTTTGATAGCCAAATTATTACATTTAGAATCTGAAAAAAAATTTTTTTTGTGATTCAAATGTAATAACAACATGATACAATAAAATTTTCTCGATAGAAAAAATTACCGAACTACATTTGATTTGCAGTTTTTTTACAAACCAAATTTCATTTTAAACAAATACTCATCAAATACTAATACTCCTATTTTCTACAAAAAAAAAAATCAATTTATAGGTAATTCATTTTGGAATCAATTCCAACCCGAATTTTTTTTTGTTCATTACATTTATATAAAAAAAATATCCATTATTCAAGTGATTTTCGATTCGTACGTTGCTTGCCAGTGTCCCGTGGTGTCCTGCTACATAAATAATATTTAGGAAATAAAACAAATTGTAAATAATTATAGTTTTATGGAACTTATGTAGACTATAGTTAAGTTTTTATAAAAGCTTTTAGAAAAATTTACTTCGCAAATATCCGCGTTATAAAATAAAGAGAAGAGCACCTCCCGCCCTCCCTCAATTGCGTGCACTATCCCCGTTACCACTAATCCCAGCACCGCTACTCCCAACAACACTACACTAGGCAAGACACACCACTGACGATAATACGACACGTGTTTCGCCTCTACACGAGGCATCCTCAGGTGATATAGACTCTACGGTGGCTAACCGCTAAGTGAGCGGCGAGCCAAAACAAGTGCCTTTTATACAGACCGATGACGCAACCGCTCTCTACTTAAGGAGCGACTCGCTCGCTCCTTAAGTAGAGAGATTAGTGGTGACGGGGATAGTGCACGCAATTGAAGGAGGGCGGGAGGTGCTCTTCATACTAGGTAAGACACATCATTTTATTTTATAACGCGGATATTTGCGAAGTAAATTTTTCTAAAAGCTTTTATATAATGGATTTCAGCAAAGTAATGCCTGATTCTATTAATTAAGTTAAGCTTTTGTTTATGTGTTTATTTCTCACTGTGTAAATATTTGTTTATAACTTAAAAACAATATGTTTGTGATTACTTTGTAAAAATCACGATCATGCGCGGCCCGACTCGGTCTTTGACCGCTTGTAAATACCTAATGTGTTTAGTACACCCAACCTTAATGTTGAAGTTTTGAATTTTTACTTTAAAATAAATAAATAATTATAGGTCGGGAAAAGTGTCTTAGTATTTTGTTTGTATAAAATTGAAGAAAAATCTTATTGGTTACATTGATAATAAAAACTACTATGTCTAATTTTCCTAGAAAAAATAATGTAACTGGCTAAGAGCAACCACTCTAAGTTTTAATATATTTACAACCCTTACTTATTGATATGTTATACTGAAGTGCAACTTTAATTCAAAATTATAAAAACCTTGAGTAGCTCAGGAGTATGGCAGTAGTAAGTACAAAAATGTATGAAAATCAGGTAAAAATCATTCAAGCATACAGATTGTTACCTTATTCTATTTGCCTTGTGTCTAAGTGCCTTTAAAAATATAATTTTGAAATCAGCAAAGCAAACAACAGCAATAATACAACAGCATTGCTACATTACTAAAAAGTTTTTTCCCATTACTGCACTGGCATAGACTTTGGTTTCCCAACATTATTCTTTGATATGATTGCCAAGTATAGAAAAAAAAATTTAAGCATCTTCCACACAGAAGCGGCTTGCGGCGGGGGCCGCAGTGGTGGCCAGTTGTTTTCATTTGCAATGTGAGTCTGCAACTTGTGCTGCCATGTCCGGGCGAGTGCCCCGCCCCCTCCGCCACCACGTGTGTGTTAGCGAGTATGTTGTCTGTCAGTGGCTGCAGCACAGTCACTTGCAAATTTTTACAATAGGCCGCTTATATCGTGTGAAAAATGGCACTAAATACAAAGATTTTTAATAGAAACAATGCAAAATTATCCAGTACTTTATGATACTTTACATCGTGATTATAAAAACATTCCTAAATATAATAAGAGTAACAAGACTTTGTCATGATTGGCCAGCCATGCTGACTGATGTCCGATCATAACACAGAAACCAAAGCGAATGGCGCTTCAGGCTGTCACTATGACCACCCTGGTGTGTTCTTGCATCAGCTGGAGCTGCGGCTCGCGGTAAGCTGCCACTGCAAGCCACTTGTGTGTGTGAGATGTTTTACCCAGACTAAACTATGTCATAAATATCTATGTTACACCAAATCAAAAAAACATGTACATGTTTTTAATTATACAGGATAAATATATAAAAAAGGATAGTAAATTGAACAACAAAAGTGGAAATAATGTGACATAATTACATAATACACATTTATAGACTGTAGATAATAAAAGGGGATTCAATCTTTAAATTTATTGTAGATTTTTTACAGTCCAGCTTAATTACAATCACAACCAAAAATGGGAATTGTATAAATAAATTATTTCCAAAACTTATATGAGAAATCACTTACTGAGAAAACACACAAATTATATCACCTTCTGTTAAATCATATGGCATACCACCAATGAAAATCCAAGCACTGTCTTTGTATTGATCATGCCATGAGGTCTTAGAATTACCAGTTAATTCTCGCTCACTGAGTTTTAAAACATTTTTAACATTTCTGAAACAATGCATTAATGGCTCAATAACTCTACAAATACAAATAATCTGTAGCAAATAATGATTACTACTATTTTATATGAAGGAAGAGTAACAAGAGTACAGTATTAGTGGCATATTAAGTGCCAAATAGTTATAAACAAGTTCTATAAATAAATAAACATAAGAACCCAGAATTGTACTTAAATATTGAGAAAACATACGTCATGGGGTTCATATTTGCACTGAATTTTACTGTCTCCTCTTTTGCACATGTAAACCTCAAATTTTTATTATTCTCTTCGGGTAAGTTCTTTCAAACGAAAATTAATAAACATTCAAACATTGATTATTAATCTTTGCAGTTTGAAATAACAAAAAAGTAAAAAAACTGAAGTGATTAACAGATTGACAGCTGTCAGCTGACAAAGAGTAGTGATGGATTAACTTGACTTAATAATCCTACCTGAATCGAGTGGATATACTCACTAACTCGAGTTCGGGCTGCCGGTAATTGAACGAAATATGCGAGCAAACGAGGGCAAGATTCGTTCATCATGTATATGTACATATTATAATACCAATAAGTTGATTTAAGTATTATTTGTTAAATTATTAATTATTAATAACATAAATAATACCACTTTAACATCATAAAGTTAAAGATATATTATTTTATGAAGATTGTCTCTATATGCAAACCGAAAATACATGTAGGAATTATAATGGGTATAGTACAGAGACTGATTTTGTGGTTAGGAATAATAATTAATTCGTTTACACGAATTAATTATCCAACGAGTCGAGGTTAAACTAGTAACGGAATACGACAAGCGCACCGTTCCACGTCAGAGCCAAGACTGCCTTAACGGCGGCCGCTCAGTCCGTTTTATACAAGAAAACGGGCGCCACCGCAGGTGCAATGGTGCAGGTGTGCGGAGCACGTGTTATTTACAAGAATTCTGTCTAGCTACACCGACGCTGCTGCACGTGCAGTGTATCGTGAGGGACGTATTGACACGATAACACCTAAGTATGTAAACCAACAGCAACACGACACATATCCCAGTGCAGCACAGACCAGCCTCCCTGCAACTTCATGTTCCTTTCCTGCACTAGAATAATTACTTCGCTAGAGTGTTGCAACGTCTCTAGTATTTTCTAAATGCACAGACACGGCTACCCCCGACTATCGCACGTCCTCGTGCGGTTGAGAGTGAACAGCATACGGTCTATCAGTTATCACCACCTGCTAACAGATATTAACTCTTGTAAAATATTACAACGGTCGACCATACCAGACTTCATTTAAGTCTGGAACGCGCCGATATGGCTACCTCCAGGTAAACACACTACAGCTTTTTGTTCTGCTGCGTTCGTGCCACATTCGCGCCAGCAAGCCGTCGCGCCGTACTAGCGCTAGCGAATCTTCGCACTGCTTTGCAAAATTAAAAGAAATCGAGATAAATGTATTACGAACCATGGAATTCAGAGCTTCCAAAATTAATCACATATTCTCTTAAGAAACGGCAACTGTATGTCAAAAAAATGGAAACTATGTGTAGTAACAGATACCACAACATTTTTCGAAGCGAAGGAGGCAACTGCGCAAAATCTACGAAAGCCGTCCATTTACAGCGCCAAAGTACCATTTGTTCGGCGGCCGCTTGAATTGCCCTGCCGTAAGATCAGATGATAAGTAACCGACTGTAGCGGTGTAGGCTCAATCTAACTAGTGCTCGGCCGTACCTGACCAAGTTCGATTAGCCAGCACAACGTCTTCCTCATTGATCATTGTTGTAGAGACTTCTACGAATCCCTCGACATCAAACCCCAATCTTGTCAACGACACAATATTCGGAGCAAACTGCAACACTGATCAACACATTAGAACACAAAAATGTCACTCATTATTTTCAATTCATAGCGTGTTAAAGTTAATCCTTTATTGTAGTACAACCCTTAAACGTTTCGAACTTCAAAATATGGCAAATGATAATCACGTTTCGCGTGAAATATCAAATTACAACAAAACTTGAACAAATCAATTAGAAAGCCTCCAATATTTCTTTTGACATTTGTTAACATATTTAAGTACGTCAAGAAATAATGAAAATACTTGCGGGTACTTTTAATACAAATCGAACAAATTAAAAATAATTGCTTAAATAATTTCACTTTATCTTTTCTCTACACTTTAATGATAGATTAGATAGATAGATAGATTTGCTTTGAAATTTGCTGTCCTACTTCTGTAGGACAGCAAATTTCATTACGGATTTTAACATAAAAACAGAATCATCAATGCAGAATGCATTATAGTCTTTCACAAATGTAATAATCCTCATACTATTCGAAAATTGTATGTGGGCAAAAATGGGGACTTTATCCCACTTCTGATGTAGAAAGGGTAATTGAGTATAGTACAGAGACTAATTTTGTAGTTAGAAATAATAATTAATTCGTTTACACGAATTAATTATCCAACGAGTCGAGGATAAACTAGTAACGGAATACGACAAGCGCACCGTTCCACGTCAGAGCCAAAACTGCCTTAACGGCGGCCGCTCCGTCCGTTTTATACAAGCAAAACGGGTGCCAACGCAGGTGCAATGGTGCAGGTGTGCGGAGCACGTGTTATTTACAAGAATTCTGTCTAGCTACACCGACGCTGCTGCACGTGCCGTCATACATAATATTAGGTTTGAGATATTATTTATTTGTCAAAAGATTACAAATCACTTACGAGAAATGAAACAATTTACACACAATAACAAAGGAATCCATTATGAGTATACAGAATATCAACTAAAGATGTGGGCAAAACGTATCCAATTAAAAAGAGCAGTAAAATAGATTTTACTCAAAATAAGGGTGTGTGGGTATTTTTTGTCGTTCAGTTTCCAAAATATGGCGTTGCAATAATTTTTTTAAAGAACAATTCAAGTTACACAATTTTGCACCATCAAACATTATATTTTTCTTAACATACTCTTTTCTAACTTTTTGTGTGTATTTATCGCGGGCACGTCTTAGGTTACGGTTGTGATAATCAACATTTTTTTAAACAATATTTGCCAATGAATGTCGTTGTTAAGTAATATAAATCAGGCCTGCGACAGCTGTCGTTATGTTATAGTTATGTATAACTCGCATATATATATATTTTAGCTCGCAGCCATTTTGACCGACGTGTATAGCTGTCAAACTGACAGCAGATTGCATTTTCCGTCATTCGTGTTATGGAGTATAGAGTAGAAGGAGGACCATCTCTGTATATGAAAAGTGTCCCTAAAAACGCGTCCAATAAGGGTGGCGCTGCAGTAGCATAGGATAAATTAAAATAAAAGCGCCAAAATTAATTAGAATAAGATGGAGAAATAAACAAGGGCCGACCAATCCGCTTGGTTTTGTACTACGTAAATAGTTGAGATTTTGTATACTGGCATTTTACTAACTACTCTAGTCATGAAATGTTTTAAATATTTTAATTCAGCTGACTTCACTCCGTCTACAACAGCTATATTCATATCGTAGTTTTTCAGACGCCAGCGCTATTGTGGTAGGTTTTGGAACCTCTATTTTCAGTATATAGTGGGACACTTTTTCAACTTTCGCACCTTATAAGATGGTTCTCCTTCTACTCTACACTCCATAATTCGTGTTCACCGACTAGTAAATGTATAGTCTGTACTAAATATACGTTTTTATTCTAATCCTACCTATTAAGTTTGGTAATAATAATTGTCCCAACACATGCGCTAGCACTGTATTAGTCTGTGCCCAAAACAGAATTGGATCGAAGAACAAATATATAAATAATTTATAACAAATTGACACAGCTATGTTCGGCTAGTTCAAGATTTGTGAATTTCAACCAAAGAGTATAGTATAGTCCTATACAGGAAGATTTCAACTCAAGTAAAACTGAGTCAAGCTTCTTCCGAGTTGCCACATCTCTAACAAAGAAATAAAGATAGATAACAGTTCATTAAGTCATAGATCTATATACTAACACTACGCATGCATGGACGACCCCCTACCCAGCCTACGAATTTTGAGTATGTATATAACAAAAATACTGACAGACGTATTTCAAATAGCAGATCTCAATAATATTAATTATTTATAATGCACCCATGTAGTTTAGGAAAAAAAAATAGTTAAAAATGGCTCACTTAATATTGTCGATATTATTTCAAATAAACTTATTCTTATTAAAAGAGACTTATTCTTAGCCATATCACTTTTATTTTTATTATTACTGATAGTACAGTCGTTACTAATAATAACTTAATATAAAAATGTTTTGCGTGTTGTGTTGGTAGTCTTACAAAGTATATACGAAAATAGTATGAATATACTAAATGGCAACATTTGAATAGAGTAAAATGATTTAAGTCTTTTGATATTCCTAAAAATGTTTGTTTTTAATTAAATTTGTGATTTTAATTAAAATACTTTTTCATTTGAAAAATCATAAAAAAATTATAAAACTCATTTTATATATAACTCATTTATAGACATTATAATTTTTGTCAACTATTTTTCTGCCATTGCTCTTTGGAGTACATACAAAATAAAAAATACTGACAGACCTATTTTAGAAAGCACATGTCAAAAATAATTATAATTTAAACTGCACCTATGTAGTTTATAAAAATAGGTAAAGGTCATCACCTTATAATGTCAATATAACTTCAAATAAGTAGAATTGGGTACTTTATACAACATGAAAAAAACTGCACGCTGATTGAAAATGCAGTGCTGCGCCAATGTTAAAAACGCATAAAATGCAGTATTAAGTCTAAGATGTTAACAAAACCAAATGAGAGTAAAATAGTACACGCATACATCGCTGCGCTATTGATGGATATACATAGTGCAGCAATGGGTGCATGAGCTCTCACCGACAGGTACACAGGCGCTCCGTCTGGGTACAAAATGGTATGCGCTGCGCCAGCTACTCACTTGCCAGCCGCAGGGGCAATCTAGAGTGTAGGAGTAAGGATGACCCTTAATTGCGATTCGTGTATGCAAGCAGGGCAATATCCTAAGTCGGCCCTGTGGCAGGGTGGCAGGGGCGCAAGACCTTTCTTGCTCCCTAGATCATAGCTGCCGTTGCTGCGTGTGTAGCGCAATTGGGGCAATTTCTATTCCATCATGTGTGGTATTGTTGGATAGGTTTTTCAAAAACATTGGGGGTATGTAACAACATCTTTTGGATTAAGGAGTCCGTTTGCGAAATATTTATATACTATTGACGGCTCTGTGGCGCAGTGGCTTAGCAATGACTTACTGCGCTAAGAGTCGCGGGTTTGAATGCCGCACGGAACAAGTATTTGTATGGCCTACAAATAAATGTTACGTAAATTTCACAAGGACAAACATCCAGACCCGGACTAGAGTTTTTTTAAAGA